ATAGATTCCCCCCCTCCCTCCTTGATTTAGGGATGTAAGGAAATAGGGGATGAGAACAGAATCAAAGAAGACAAGGTGTGATAAACACAGGCATTTGCAACAGAACAGAGCAGGGCTGGGACTAGGGTGAGGAAAGTGAGGTGCAAGTTTTAAGGGTGTGCTAAAACAGTCATCAGAATGAACAACAATTAAATGTAGCAATTTTTAAAAACCAATGTTATCACCAAAGATCTACAATGGACAAAATAGCAACAAAAATTTTAGAAGACCTGGGCAAGTTCTAATGACCAGGTTTATCTCCTGGTGGGAGTGTGGATCCATGTCAGCTTCTCTTTGGAGCGGGCTGCCTTTGTCCCTAGGATTCTGCATAAGGGATGTTTTGCCGAAATGAACATGATGAATGTGAAAATCTTCCATAAATCCAGAGTGACTGTGGCAGTGGATTCCTTTCCCATTACAATTAACAGTGTCAACGATGGTTATGTGCTTTGAGTTCCAACAGACGGAGGTTTATCAGTTCACGGCTGAGCCAAGCATGAAACCAAAGCAAGTTTGAAATCCCCAAGGATGTTTCTCACTGGGGTCACTCAGCCAGGGGCCGGGCCGGCCACTTTCCGGTGATTGAACCGGAGTTTTCCGTCTATCTACAGAACGAGTTCTGTGCCTCCAGCTGCAGTGCAGGCCTGCCCACAGTACCCTGCCAGCGTGTTTACACCCTGACCTGGAAGGACCAGCTAAGGGTGAGAAAGCAATTTGCTCTCCGTGTCCATCTCATGCTTGTTTGGTTGGCCAAGACTGGCCATGCATGCTGTGGATGGTCCCGAGGCTTTCAGGGCTCATGGGAAAGCTCTCCAGTCATGGAGGCAAACCCATGTCAACTGGCAGTGTATCCGCTCAGCATTCCCCACCTCAGTCCATGAAATTCCGACACCTAGAGAGACAGAACACCATGTGCCTCTCAACGATTTCTCACTGCTTAGAGTAAATATTTTATATAAATAAACACATGAATATTTTAGCCCGTTACTTGGAGCGCTGAACTGTCTTCCGAGAGGTGAATCATCTTAGAGGCAAATCTTAGAGATGACATCAGTGACAGCTTGTCTCATTTTGTTCAAAGATACTCACAGGGAAGGTCCTCGATTTGTTTCCAGTTGATTTAATGATAAAGCAGTGGAGTGACACTACAATTTTTGAAAACTCTGAACTGCCAATATTATAGTGAGACTTCTGAGGAGTAAATGTCATCGTTTTATTTCATTAATTGATGGGCTCTTGTGTGGAAAGACAAGGCTTCCCAGGTGACCCAGTGGTAAAGAATCTGCCGGCCAGTGCAGGAGACACAGGTTTGATCCATGGATTGGACAGATCCCCTGGAAGAGGAAATGGCAACCCACTCCAGTATTCTTGCCTGGAAAATTCCATGGACAAAGGAGCCTGGTGGGCTATAGACCATGGGGTCTCAGAGAGTCAGATATGACTGAGCACACACGCACACATATGGAAAGACAACTCTTGGGCGTGGGTTCTTAGGCAAATTTGGCCACCACCTTACTGACCTCTGCTGAGAGATTAAAATGATAAATAGGAAATACTTTAAACATATAAAAGAGCCACCAACTATAAGCATAAAACAAGGCATTTTACTATTGATTTTGAATAATTTTAAACTATACAGTCCAGGGAATTCTCCAGGCCAGAGTACTGGAGGGGGTAGCCTTTCCCTTCTCCAGGGTAACTTCCCATCCCAGGGATCAAACCCAGGCCTGCTGCATTGCAGGCAGATTCTTTACCAGCTGAGCCACAAGGGAAGCCCAAGAATACTGGAGTGGGTAGCCTATCCCTTCTCCAGGGGATCTTCCCGACCCAGGAATCAAACCGGGGTCTCCCGCCTTGCAGGCGTATTCTTTACCAGCTAAGCTATCAGGGAAACCCATGATTTTAAACAGTATTTATCAAATACATTTTCAGAGTCTTGACCCCAGGTAATGTCACCATCCCCCCATTTTTTTCGGTCCTTTCTCGACATGTGATCAGAGTTGTTAACAGTAACTTCATCCAGTTGCTGCCACACAATGAATTCTATATGAACATCAACTTATGTGCTTCTGCCAGGCCAAGGGGTTGCTTCACACAAGAGTCTACCCCAAGCTGTTTGCCATGTGCACTCAAGCTGCATTAGCTTCCATGGCTAAGTACACTGGCTGGGGAAAGAGGGATCCCCCACCTGCCCCTGTTCCTGGGGGTGACCCAGCCCCGCTGAGGAGGCTCACGGGCTGTGTCTGCCGCTTTCGCCTCCACCCCCAGGGATTAGCTCTGGCCTACTTCTCCAGTTTCTCCCTGATGGGGGCTGCAGCTGTGATGACCTCGGTGGCTTGACTTGGAGAATGACACTGAAAAGCAGAGAAAGGCAGCTTGGCCCCTCCTGCCCACCCCCCTCCCCTTATCATGTTCTGATCCATAACCAGATGGCATTCAGCGATCTGGCTCCTGCAGGCCGGAGCTGGCTGCGATGGGTGTGCTCTCTCCTCTAATCCACTGTAGCCCTGCCAGCTTGAGGTCAGAACCACCCCATTGCCCCCACTGCCAGCCGGGGCTGAGGCTGTGACCATTATCTGTGATCTCTGCTGACTTGCCTCCGAGGAGATCCATAGCCCACGGGCACATCTATGGGGTGAGGGAGGGCAGATAGGCTTGGTATCTCAGGTTTGGTATCTGACTTACCCCAAGTATCAAAATTACCTGGAGGGCTTTTAAAGCCCTGCCCCCAGAGGTTCCCTTTCAGTCCTCAGAAGCAGCACCCATTTGGCTTAATGATCTGCTGTCACCATCTTGAAATTCTAGTCATTATTCTCACTGTGGGGCCCCGCGGGTTCATTTGGCCCTGGGCCCTGCTTGTGATCGCCAGTCCCATCAGGAGATCCAAAGGGCAGCCTGCGAATTCGCATTTCCAACCAGTGATGCATTTCCCAGATGATGGGGACGCTGCCATGTCAGAAGTACTGTCCCTAGTAGTTGAGATGTTCAGGAAATTTCTTTCATGGGGGTTTTTCCTGATGCACATAACTGTTGACTGAATCTGCAACTTATAATGATTTGCACTATATATTCTCTTCTGTATGTTTTGTAAGACAGATGAGCAAGATATGAGACCAAACCATTGTGGTCTCCATGAGCTACAAAATGGCCTTTCCAAAACTCTCTTCCTATTGTAAGGGAGCCCAAAAGCATCTGTGGCCCTGATAGTTATTTTAATTTGGCAAAGGAATTGACTAGACTCTCTTTAAAACAGCTCATAAAAGCAGGTTTTATGTGCCCACTCTTATCGAAATAACACTGTGACTTATTCTTGCCGAGTAGACATAAAATACTTTCATTAATGAATGGAAAAATGTCAACTAAACAGGGGAAAACAACTGAAATTAGCCCAGCAATTTGATGTCTAGCCCTGGTAGAACCCAGATTCTGAGCTAAGCTCTGTGTGGCTACCAGTTCAACACATTTGTATTTGCTCATTCTCACAGTGGAGTGTCCTCAATGAGAGTCAAACCCCATGATGACAGACAAGGGTCCGTTTGTTTTGTCCTGTGTTCCCTCCGTAGAATCAGGGAAAGTTTACCCTTTAATTAAATGATGGCAGTTAAATCGTTTTTTTTCCCTCAACTTTTCCAGCGGAAGTAGTAAGTTCCTTTTATTTTTCCTTCATTCATTGGAAGCCTAAAGTTTCTGGAAAACCATCCTCGTGGTTGTCCTCTGGCTCTTTCCCATAAGGTCATCAGTCATTGGTTTAAAGAGGGGGCAAGGAAAGGACTGTTTATTTCATGTGGATAAGAAATTCCCTCAGCAGAAAGTGCTTGGGGCCCTAACTGCCTCGGTGACAGGGAAAGCATGTCACAGCTGAGTTGCCTTCCCCTGGCAGTAAGCCCTGCCTGAGCCCAGTGAAGTAGGACCCCCTGACAGCATCCTTTCTCCTCCAGCATTCACAGAACCCTTAGATTAGGAAGGGCTTGCTCAGGCATGGGGTTACCTTCTATAAGATCACCAAGGATTTGTCTTGAAAAATGAATCCAAAGGAAAGTAAAGGCAAGAGAAGTGAAGTGGGGCGAGGGGTGGGGGGCGGCAGAAGCAGGTTTGGGAACTTTTAATCAATCTGTGATCATTTCCCTTTAAGATGTTGTCAGGGCCACTGTTTTGAGGAAAGTAGAAAATACAGATGTTCCCAGGTAAGACTTCAAACACTCTTGTCATATTCCTGATGTTCTTGTTTTCCTGTTCGGCTCACATTTTCACCATTATTTCTGTTGCTGTGACAACTCATGCTCATATAAAACTTAATGGATGTGCTCATAAGTACGCTTTACATCAATTTGTAAAAGCACTGGTGCCTTGTAGAATCCTTTCAGGTGTATTTAAATACTATGGATTCCAGTGACGGTCATATGTTTATCTTTTTAGCCACCATTTTATCCATAAAACAGTTATTCCCACCACCACCACCATCATCATCATTGTCAGGAAGGATGGATTGATTTACATTAGTATTTGGGTGAAAGGAGAAAAGGTGTCCATAAACTGCATGTAACGTTTCAATCATAGTTTTGTCTGAATTACTTTTAATTCAAGATATTGAGGAAAGCTAAAGAGTTATCTACAGTTTTCCCTACTTAACAGATAGTGAGCATCAGATTTTAATTTTTAAATGGAAACAGGGATTGATCCAACAGGCATTTCAGCGATGCACCTTGAAGAGAGAGTTTCATCGCTTCGCCCTGCCATTTCCTGTGACATCTGTTGGGTTTTGCTGCCATCTGCTGGCCATTTCATAGAAACGCTTTCACCTGATTGACATAGGAGTCTTGGAACCTTGCTCAGAAACTCTTTTTTGTTTCAGCCCGTGTCCACACATTCTCCTGCCGTCATTTGTAAGCCTGTCCGCTGGTTTGAATCTGGTCTCCCATTGCTAATACACTCACGCGCCTGTAATTGTCTCCTTGTGCCAGAAGCCCTGACATGCTGAGGTCGGAAGTCTCCTTTTCCATGGGAGGAAGGCACTCGTCCACAGACTCCAACAAGGCCTCCAGCGGAGACCTCTCCCCTTATGACAACAACTCCCCTGTGCTGTCTGAGCGCTCCCTGCTGGCTATGCAAGAGGACGCGGTGCCGGGGGGCTCAGAGAAGCTTTACAAAGGGCCGGAGCCGTGTGTGCGCCGGGTGGGCCTCTTGCCCTCCTCGAAGTCGAGGGAGAGTTCTCCTGGACCAAAGCTTGGCAAAGGTAATTCATCCAGTCCCTCTGATTGCATGTGGCCTGGTGTGGGTGCTTTGGACCTGGTCTCCAACCCTTCCTTGTTTCATGTTTCCCTAATTCAACGAGCATTTACTGAGGAGGACCTGCCGAACACTGATCCTGGGTCCGAGTCCCTGCACACACAGCTAGGTGGGAAGCAGTCTCCAGCTGGGTGAGCCCCAGACAGTCCCAGCTGACTCTCCCCTCCAGCATCCGAGGAACCTGCTGGCTCCTGGCCTGTGGGCTTGGGTACATATCTTTCAGTCTAAGATGGCACCCCACCATTGCTGTTACTTTTATACAGAGAACAAGCTGAACTCACTATATAATGAGCAGGCATGTTCCAAATAAGTCTCCATGCCAATGAAGACTTTTAGGCAAAAGAAGATTTCCATGGTCAAATACATTTGGGAAAGGCTGAGTTAACCAAGCTAACAGTGTTTCTGCTGTACAAGTTCTCAAAAACCTTTACACTGCTAGCAGGCACCATGAATTTCCACAATGGGAGGGAGGGGATGGTTTTCTCAAATGGATTTGACCACTGAATGTTCAATTTGTATTCCCCCTCCACAGAACAATTCCTCAGGGTCAGGACTCACAGGATACTTTTTAACTGATCATTGGAAGACACAGTACAAATTCTTGCTGCTGTATCACAAATATATAGTTTTATCTGAAGAGTCACTCTGAAAGAGCTCCTTTTTTTTGGTGTGTTTAATCATAGCAGCTTTACTTTTATTTCACAAGTATTTGTTTCAAAAATTTCTTTTAATTTACAGTGAACAGAGTAGTTGGTGTTTCTATCAGGCATAAAATTTCTTTTTAAAATGTGAAAGTACTTGCCTCATCCGTGAAATGGACTCAGGGACATCTCTTCAGGGTTAAATGAGAGAATGAATGCATGTGAACACGGGGAAGCACCGGTAGACGTTTGCTTCTAGAAATAGTCATTATCATCACATTGCCGAATTAGTTTGTTTAGATGCTAAGTCATGTCTGACTCTTTGTGACCTCACAGACTGTAGCCCTCCAGGCTCCTCTGTCTGTGGAATTTTCCAGGCAAGAGTACTGGAGTGGGCTGTCATTTCCTTCTCCAGGGAATCTTCCTGACCCAGGGACTGAACCCATGTCTCCTGCATTGGCAGGTGGGCTCCTTACCAGTGAGCCACCTGGGAAGCTCTTAGGTTTCAGGATTGTAGTAAGAGTTAAATGAGATGGTGGGAACACCTAAGATAGAGCCTTAGTCTGTAAATATTTACAGACAGATTAGGGGGAGTGTATGAATAAACACATGCAGGACTGTGAGTCTGGTGATGCCGCAGAGGAGTATTCGCTAGGCATACTGAGATAAACGAACTATAACCATTGTTCCTCTGTCTCTATGTTGATGCGGTTGGAACTGTTGTCACCCATGACAATTACCTAGGGCTGCCATAACAAGTGACAACAAACTTAGTGATTTAAAACAACACAAAAATTTATTATCATACAGTTCTGGACATCAGAAATCTAAAATGGGTCCACAGGGCTGTGTTCCTTCTGGAGACTTTAGGGAACAATCTGTTTCCTTGCCTTTTCCAGCTTCTGAGGCTGCTTGCATTCCCTGGTTTATGGCCCTTTCCTCCATCTTTAAAGCCAGAAACAGCATCTTCTATCTTGCTTCCCTTTTATAAAGACCTTTGTGATTACACTCAGCTCACACAGATAATCCAGGATCATCTCCTCATTCCAAAATCCAGAATTTAGGCACACCTGCAAGACTCTTTTCACTGTAACATCTTCACAGATTCTGGGGATCATGACTTACTCTGTCTACCACAGCCATCAGAGAGAAAGAGCATTTTCGTGAATCCCAAATGGAATAGGCCTCTTAAAAAGCAGGTCTGCATCATATTCTGTCTTGTATTCATCACAATCTCGAATATAGTACTTTGAGTAGAAGAGATGTCATAAAAATATTTATTGATTTGTTTTTAATCTTCAGTTTTCATTTTGAGTTACATACGTTTTTTTTTTTTACACTTCTTCCTAGATATGGCAGAGGAGGCTTTCAATATCTGGGGAACTTGGCATTCAACATTAAAAAGTGGATCCAAAGACCCAGGAATGACAGGTGAAGGATTATATTTTAAAACTAATATTGCACTTACTTTTAAAGTTAATTTTCTTTGCTTTTCACCTTACTATCATCATATTACATGCTTCTCAGATATTATTTGAAAAATGCTGTGTCAACTTAGGGGGAATATTCACAACCTAAAAGTTGAGTGTTATATTTTATTTGGGGGGAATTTTTAGGACTCCAAGCTGGGGAGACTTGGAGTAGTGTGAGAGAACTGCTTTGAGGAGGCAAGGGAAGGAGCCAGGTTATATAGACGTTTGTAACAAAGGGTAGGTAGTCTGAGTGTCAACAGATTATTGTTAATTAAAGGAAACCAGATATCTCAAGTTAAGGAATTTAGCACTTTTCCCTGTCTGGGAAGATGCAAGAGCCTGGGGCCACTGAAATCATTCCTTTGATCTGCACCTCAGCTACCTGGGGCCAGTATCCTGTATTTTCATGTCCTGAGCTTCCTCAGGACTCACCACAGGGAGTGGCTGCAGGAAGTGGCCACCATCTGATGACTTCTAGGTGACAGGTATTCTTTTTTTTCCTGAGTTTCTTCAGGGTGGCTCACATTGTAGGGCTGCAATCACTGAGGGCTGTGACATCCTTGTTTACTGATATAACAGGAAATATCCCATTTCCCAGCTGGAAATAGGGGGAAAGGAGATAAAGCTGTACCTTTCCACCAAAGTACATCAATCTTTGACTTTATTTCATTTCATTTGCAAGAGTTTTTAAAGATAGTTATAATCATTCTGACTGTGTACCTTTATATGATTTGTCTACCTTTCATTCTCCAGTTATTTTCCATTATTGTTGTTAAGGGCTGTGTAGTATTTTGGATGCATATTCATAGTTTATAGCCCAGTGTTGGGACCACTGAGTTGTTTCCATTTTTTTAGTGATGTTGCAATAAGTTAATGTCAGGGATCTCTTTTGTATACTTTTTGGATTTTGTATTTTAAATTGTAAAAAAAGTTCACAAAATTTTAGAAAGCCAGTTATAAATCTGAAATAGAAAGGTCAGAAAATAGGGAAATTCCTTGGTGGTCCAGTAGTTAGGGCTCCATGCTTCCACTTCGGGGACCTGGGTTCCATCTCTAGTTGGGGATATAAGATCCTGCAAGCTGTGTGATGCAGCCAAAAAAAAAAAAAAAAAAAACCAGAATAAGAAAGTGGGTCAAAATATAATGAACCTATCCAAGAATTCAGAGGTATAGTCACTTCACATTCCATAGAGGATACAGTGGCTTGTGTTGCATAACCATAGTGGCAGCGCCATTTCACGGTATTGTCCATGTCACTTTAATCTCATTGGTATTGCAAATCACTGGCTTTGCATTTGGGTTTCTTTAAAAAACAAAATTATATTTCTTATTATCATTTGCCTGTATTTCTCACCAGTATTTTTCAATTTTTCTATTAATCAGCTGAATTTCACCCACAGATTATCCTTATGTCATTGGCTATTTATGTATGCTAGTGTTTTTAAAATTGATTCTTACAAACTCTTCTTATAATAAAGGCATTAACCCTTTGACCACATTGTTTGCCACTGATATTCCTTGCATTTTCTCCCTTTTTGCATATCTGGACATTTTTTAATGTTTTACATGAGTAATTCTATCTCTTGTGTGTGAATTCTTTCACAAAATTTATCTTAACTTTTACTTAAGCATTGGCAAATTAGTCATCTATACACTTTTCTCTGTCACAATATTTCATTATTTTAACTGTTAATTCTTTAATCCATCTGGAATATATGTTAATATACAATATGAGGGCTTCCCTGGTGGCTCAGATGGTAAAGAATCCTCCTGCAACGTGGGAGACCTGGGTTCGATCCCTGGATTAGAAAGATCTCCTGGAGGAGGGCATATAATATGAAGTGTGTGAATTGTTTTGTTTCCCTGTGTGTGTGTGTGTGTGTGCGTGTGTGTGTGTGTGTGTGTATTCCCTTTTTCATTGTTTTGTAATACTTCCCATATTACATTTTTAAAGCATGGTGCATTTTTATTTTAATGGCCTCTACTCCAGTTTGAGTATTTGAGTATTGATCCATTATCTAAGTACATCTCACCTTATCCCATGAACTGCTTTACTGTCTTTTTCCCCAAGGATAAATTATTCCAAAATATCCTGCTCTGTTTTCCTTCTGCTGGTTCAAGTCTGATCTGTCCCTGTGTAAATGCTTATATGCCCCTCTCCCCTCAAAATGATCTCCCTGCTTACTTTTTAAGAAATGAGAGGATGGGGCAAATCAACAGGAGACAGGCAGCCTAGGGACATAAACCCCAGGAACTCCTCATTTGCTTGTGAAACACACTGTTTTGCTCGCCTTTCAATTTCCTGAAGAAAGTTGTATCAGTTAGGGAAGGTTACAAACATCTCCTAAATGTCAGTGGCTTAACCTTTCACAGGTTGATTTATCCTCACTACCCAGTCCAATGTGGATTGTGCAGGGCACTGAGGGGTGGGAATACTCTGTTCCAGTCATGTAGGGGCTCAGCTCAAGTTCCATCTAGCCAGTGGCTCCCCCATCCTCAGAGGCCTCAGAGTCTTCCATGGTTGCTCCATCGTGGGCTAGACGTTGAGGGAAGAGAGCAAGTCCAGACAGCTAGAAGTGCATTTGGTGTTTCTCCTACTAGACCAGGCCTAGAAATGGCTTCCATCTCACCCCTCCACATTTGTTAGCCAGACCTTATCTATGTGGCCGTCCTAACTGCAAGGGAGGCTGGGAAATATCATCCAGGAAAGAAAGGGGATGATGGGTGAATAAGGAGCCAGTCTCCCCCAAAGTGGCAGGGGTAGAATATACACAGGGGCTGCTGCCTTCAGCTTCTGGCACTAAATGGGGCATTTTCGATTCAATTCATTTATTCCTACGGCTTTGATTGACACAAGAGAAACATGGAAACACTATAATGTATGTCTCCTCCGGATTGCCAAGTTGCACTGAACAGGAAGAGAATGTTCCTTTTACCTTCTAGGTTCAGAAAAGTTTCCATAAGCACGTCAGAGAGGGGCTTTCCAAAGGCAGAAATTAAGGCACAGGACTCTTTAGTCTCATTTGACAGTGAAGCTGCCCGAATCCAGGCATCTGTCTTTGGAGCTGTTACATGAATCGTGCCGATAATCAAGGTCTCTTGGTCAGGTCTCTTACAAGGAAGTTTTCTACCGTAGTCAGCCACAGCTAAGCATGTCCTGTGCTTTAAAAAATTTTTTGCAACTGGCAAGGCACCCCAAGAGGGAGCTACAAACCAATTGCATTTCTCGTCCTTCTCTCTGGCTCCCAGGTTCCTACGGCGACATTTTTGAAAGCAGCTCCCTCCGCCCGGGGCCCTGCTCCCTGTCTCAAGGGAACCTGTCCCCCAATTGGCCCCGGTGGCAGGGGAGCCCCACAGAACTGGACAGCAGTGCGCAGGCTATTCGGAGGACTCAGACCACGAGCCCGGCGGCCGAGGCGAGGGCGCACGCCCCAGTGGCCCGCGTCTGCAGCACGCCCCACATCCAGGGCGGCGGGCAGCCTACCCCGAGGCCGAGGCCGGAGCCGAGCTGGACTCTGAGCAGCGCCGAGGACCTTGCCGAGAGCGAGCCGGAGGGGGCCTGGCTGCAGAGGAGAGCCAAGCCTCTGCCCCAGAGACCTGCAGAGGGTACCAGGCACGACAAGCGGCCTCCTCCTCCTTATCCTGGTCCAGGAAAGTCAACCGTAGCATCCCCGGCCCACCAAGCCACCGAGCCACCGCTGTGGAGGCCGCGGAGGCCGGAAGAAGGCTCCGGAACAGCTTCGCAGGAGGGAAGTCAAACAGTCGAGCCGCAGCGAGGGCACCAGGCCGCCCAGCAGAAAGCGAGCAGCGCCTATCCCAGTCCCGCTGGTGATCAGAACAGTAAGACCTTGGGGGAACCCAACTGGCTCGACTGGCAGAGGGAGCGATGGCAGATCTGGGAGCTCCTGTCCACCGACAACCCCGATGCCCTCCCGGAAACGCTGGTCTGAGCCCCCCACGCTCACCCCTCACCTCCCAAACAGCCTTCTTCCACTCAGTAGGGGAAAAAGTGGGTGTTGGACAATTGGGCACTTACTTGTTTTTCTTCTTTTACACTTAAAAAAAAATAAACACGAGAAAAGTCAGTTCACTTAAAGATAGTGCACCCTAGGACCCTGACCCTTTATAATAAGATTCTATTGCATAGCCAGCCTTCAGAATAAAACAAAAATGTATGCTAACGTCCGATCTAAAAGCTATTCACATTGGCTCTGTATAAGATAAAATTCTCGCTTTGGTATAGCTTAATTGTATTTATGTGTCTTCAGTTTTGACTCCTGTATATTCTGTAACAGATTATGTATGATAATCCTATATGTTATATTCACAGAAGACAGAAGGAACACTTTTTTAGTCACTTATTCTAAGTAATGAGATTCTATAGAATGTTCTAGAATATGCACAAGCGGGTTTCTGTGCTTTTGCCATAGCTTTTAACTGGGGACAGCCCTTCTTTCAATGCCTAAGAATAACACTAACAAAGCAAAATAGAACAGAATATGAGAAGCCATATTTTTATATACTAGTGAGATACAAAAAGAATATAGTCACTGAATGCTTTTTCATATTGAATATGTTTTAAGGAAAATATTAAATTTGATACATTATGGAATATATTTTTAGAATCTGTTTAGAAAGGATTCAGTTAATGAAACAAGAGAAAGGCCGTGCCTGACAAAGAAAGAATAATTAAGAACTTGTCCTTCCCATTTTAGGTCAAATTCAACTTTATATAGACCATATATAATATATATTTATAATGTACGATTTCTATGTATTTTTCAAAACTATAAACTGGAATCCAACTATAAAGTGTTTGAGTGAAAAGAGAGTATTCAAATTACAGAACATGGTTTTTCCTTTTGCCCCATCATCAGTATTAACCAAATTATATGCAGTGCTTTGTGAAGTAAATCATATTTGGAAAAAAACGGAGCTCTGTATTCACACTGTGCCAAAGGCTGAGGAAATGTTTTCTTTGGTAATTTTCTGTGTAATGTAAAATGTTCCTACCATACTTCAGCAGTAAATTTGAAGTTTTTCAATGCAAAGCAATTTTTGACCAGCAGGTGGCAATTTGCTTCTGTATTTTATGAGATTTTTTTTTTCACTTCATAAGGGAATGTGTATCATAGGAAAAGATTTTTTTTTTATAAAACATGCTACTCTTAATTTTCATATTGGCGATGACATTTTCAGTGGTGTTTCTTCAAGTTCTTACTTGTGCCATAATGAATAAAAAGTTAAAGCAAAGGCTTTGTTCAATGGCATTAAATCTCATGAATGAACCCACACACCATTCCACATACACACTTCCCTGTCTACAAGTCCAAATGTAATGAATAGTGGCAGTACTATCCACATACAGCTGCTGCTGCTAAGTCACTTCAGTCATATCCGACTCTGTGTGACCCCATAGACGGCAGCCCACCAGGCTCCCCTGTCCCTGGGATTATCCAGGCAAGAGTACTGGAGTGGGTTGCCACTTCCTTCTCCAATGCATGAAAGTGAAAAGTGAAGGTGAAGTCTCCCAGTCGTGTCCGACTCTTAGTGACCCCATGGACCGCAGCCCACCAGGCTCCTCTGTCCATGGGATTTTCCAGGCAAGAGTACTGGAGTGGGGTGCCATTGCCTTCTCCGATCCACATACAGCTAAAGAGCTAATAAAAAGTCGTAGGTGGCTTGGAGACATAACCCAGTGAAACTGATATTTGTTGCAAGTGAAGGTTGATTGTCATTCATTTGAAACTCAGTTGTTGATGAGGAAGTAGATGGGAACTCGGGTGGTTTCCCACGTGGTGGACAAGTGTTTCCCAACACAATCCTTGTATGTTATATCTACACTACAGGCCTTGGATGCTCCTTCTGTTTCAGGGTTGGAATGATGAAGTCTAGAAATGCTGTCTGACATTTCTTAACCGGGGCCTGGGGGGCGGGCAGTGATAGGTGTCTTTGGGCTCTGCCCTTGGGTCCAGCACTTCTACCACTGGTGGGAATGTGGGAAGGATTTGCCTGCTGGCCTCTGGCTCTTTCTGGCTGCCCCCACACAGCCCAGAGTTGCAAACAAGACCCAGAGCAAATGCTGCCTGATTGTAGATCACAGGTTGCTTTCCCATGCCACCTCCCCTCGTCCTCCTCCTGTTGACTCTGTATTTTCTTGGCTTTGAATTTAACCCCTGTCTGGCTAGTTCTTTTTCTCCTTTTTGGACTCAACTACCTGATATATGGGACTGCCCCGCCCCCCACTGCCAAATTTTTGCCCTAACAGTCCTATTTTTTTTAAACTGCCAGATCAGATGGCCCGGAGGTAGATGTCTGTGTCTTAAAAGGTAAAGTATGTTTATCTATTAATGGTCAGATCTAGAATAGTCCAGAAAACATGGCTCAGAATATTTTTATGTAATGCAATTGTGTGTGTATGTCTGTGTGTATATGTGTGTGCTGTACCTGTATATGCCCATGTATGTCCATGTAATGAACAATATTCACTCTCCCTCTCTCTTTAGATGGTTTAGGCTGGTGGCCATATTGTTAACTCAGTGAGTGAAAGCTTGTTTATCAGATGCCTTTATCACATTGAAAATAAGCTGTTCTAAAACACACACACACAAGGCACAAAGACCCGAGTCAAAGTTGGAGTCACTTCTAACGCCTTGTAAGTGATAGAATACCTGACAAGAAAAAAAATAATAAACTCTTTCAAGTTGGACAAAACTATTTAAAAGGCTATAGAGGTCACTCATTCCTAGGAGCAAAGACATCCTACAGTCAAGAAGAAGGCTACCTGGTGACACAAATGTCTTGCATCTCTGAATACTGAATCACCATTTTTATGTGTCTGGCAATGAGGCACAATGATAGGACCCAAATGGCCAAACAGGAATTTGTCTTGATCTAAGTGGCTATTAACATACGTGTGTTGTGGGTTTTCATAGAAAAAAAAATCTCTTCTACCAATGGAGTTTGTGCAAATTGAAGAAATTTCTAAATAAGCCCAGCTTGCTTCTTTTTCTTATGCACATTTTAATACACATCTGCTCGGCAGACAAACAGAATTGGGATCAAATCGAAGGAGATACCAGGTCCCCGTCAAGGCCTATGTGTACATCGCTCTGATAAGCAAACTGCAGGAGGCACCAGAACTGAGAAGAAAAGAAATGACTAAGAGTCACACTGAGATGAAAACAAGTCAACATCTCGACCGGACAGAATTTTAAAACAAGACTAAATCAGCAGCAAATGTTCTTGAGAAAAAAAAGAAATCAAAAACAAAGGAAAATTCTGATAAAGCTTGGAATTCTTCGGCACAGGATGACTTCGTGAAGGTGTAGAGGTCCAGACACCGGTCTCTGGAAGTTCGGACCCCTGGCCTGGTGTGGCCTGCGGTCCCCCATGGTGCACACAGCAGCAGCCCCAACTGCAGGCCCCCCGATGTCACAGAAAGGTCAGAAGATTCTCTCAATTCAATTTGACCAACATCTGTTCACCAGTGTTTTTTATGCAGCACGATGAGCTAACATTTATTAACGACACCTGCTCTGGTCTAAGTGTTTCACTCACATTAACTCTTTCACCCCTCATAAGCAGTAGACAGAAATCATGACTATCCTCATGTTCCAGGGAGCACGAAAGACCCAGAGTGACATCAAATGAGTTGCCCAAGGTTGCATAGCTGGAAGGTGACAGAACCAGGATTTGGTTGTGGGCCATCCACGTGTGGGGCTTCCCAGGTGGTGCTAGTGGATAAAGAATCCACTTGCAATGCAGGAGACGCAGGAGATGCAGGTTCAATTCCTAGGTCGGGAAGATCACCTGGAGGAGGGCATAGCAACCCATTCCAGTATTCTTGCCTAGAGAATTCCATGGACAGAGGAGCCTGGCGGGCTGTGGTCCATGGGCTCACAAAGATTTGAACATGACTGAAGCAGCTGAGCATGCACGCATCCAAGTGTGCAGACCTGCTGTTTGAACGGAAACTTTGGGAGCAAAGCTGTTTCTTGTTTCTCTACAAATAAGATGCCCACATTTGCTTAGAGGGTGTGTGTGTGTGTGTGTGTGTGAGCTTGTTAAGTCACTTCAGTCGTGTCTGACTCTGTGCGACCCTATGGACTGTAGCCTACCAGTCTCCTATGTCCATGGGGTTCTCCAGGCAAGAATACTGGAGTGGGTTTGAAGGGAAAAAACTTTCCCATACCCTCTTAATCGCCTGGCAAAAAGGATTTATTTCACATGCATACAGAAACCAACAAAGGAAGTATCTGGCTCCTTAAATGGTTAAAGGTTTACAGACCTAACCTAGCAGGGAAAAGGCAGTGGGGAGAAACAATTTCTAAGGGCAAAGCAAATAGGTTTATTTGAAAAAACAAACGAGTTTTCAGGAAACCAGACAGGAGATAAGAAAGTTTGTGATAAGGATGGTCTATACAGGTATGAGCAGTCTTTCTGTCTCCCTCGGAACCATAAAACTCCCCCAGAGAGGGGATTTATAGTAACTTCATTTCCCACAAGTTGCTTTTAGTCAGATAAGGGAAGCTCTAAAAGGCTTTTTTCTGCATCTGTTGAATCTCAAATGTCTTCAGCTTAAAGCCGTCTTGATGCCATGTCTGGGGTTCTGAGTGGGTCTTCTCCAGCAGGGGAAATGACTTAGAGAATGAATCAGAAACATGTTTAATCACGCAGGAAAGGATCCTGGCAAATCAGTGTTCAGAGTCCTCCTCAATTCAAATCACTTTACTTGGTCAAAGACTCAGAATCTGGGTCGGGAACCTGCTTGGGAAAGTCTGCCCTGAGGGGAGGCTGTGGGCAGGTGGGTCGCCTGCTTCATTTTCCTTCCTGGCACTTTGCAGGAGGTGAGCCGGTTGCCTTGCCCTTTCCCTGGCCTCCCACCAGGAGACTTCCATCAGCCGCTGAGCCCATCTGGAGGGGCAGATGTCACTGTGGCCCTGAGCACAGCCAAGCTTGGCCGAAGGGCGGAGACCTGCTGGGGACCAGGGTGGTGCTGCTTCGCCGAGTCGCCGCTGAGCGAAGTGTGCACACAAAGAAGCCGTTCACCAGTGACAGCTCTCAGACGCCAGGGGGACAGGCTGCCTGGCCCCCATGAGAAATGTCACAGCCATTCTGCAAACGAGCATGTTATGGGTTGAGTTGTGTCCACTATGGAAAAGATGTTGAAGTCCTAGCCCTCAGTACCTGCCAGCATGGCCTTATTTGGTAACAGGGTCTCTGCAGATGATCAAGTTAAGATGAGGTCATTAGGGTGGGCCCTAATCTTGTATGACTGTTGTTCTAATAAAAAGGGGGAATTTGGACAGAGACACAGACACGTACCCAGAAAGAACACCTTGTGAAGACTGAAGTTCTAGCACCAGCCAAGAACTGACAGAACTTTGGGGGAGAGGCCTGAAATAGACCTTCTAGCAGCTTCTGGCACAGCTCTGTCAACAGTTTGATCTTACTTGTTGCTTCCAGAACTGTGAGAGAATCCATTTCTATTGTTAAAACCACTTTGATTGTGGCAGTTCGTTATGCCCTTGCAATTGAATATGATGAACAGAGCTCAAGGAGCAGAGACCACCCAGAACACCTCTGCAGCTCAAGGGAGCGGCCACCAGGAGAGGATTTGCCTTTTAAGACCACGACTCACAAAGAAAGAGCACCCACTAACAGAGGGGTTTTCTGTCCCAGCTGAGAGGTCATTGCCTTCACCCCATTGTCATCGTCCTCTGCCTGCCCCCCACCACCTGCCCCAGCATCGCTTACTGAAGTGATGTGAGAGGATGAACTTTCCAAGGAAAGGTTTTCATTATGAAAACAAGACAAAGGTGGGATTGTGCAACATTCAGAACCGAGGAGAGCAGGAGGAGGTCAAGGAACCCTTGGGAATAAGCCACAAAGGACAAGTGGCATTTACATGTAACCTTCACTTTCCCATTTCCTACCTGGGACTTTGACCAATGGCTGTTTAAATACGTGGCAACTGTAAATACATCGCAAAGATGGGGTGCGTGGAAGTGCAGAGGATTTGAAGGATGCAGAGTCCAGTGAAGCTCAGACCCCAGTCAGCAACATTAGCATCTCTTGGGCACACTCTCCTCTTAGGAATGCCAATTCTCACGAGACTGACTGAATCAGGCCCCTGGAGATTGGGCCCAGCAATCTGCATTTTAACAAGCCCTCCAGGGGTTTGATCTCCACAAAATTTTGAGGAGCATCTAGCTGGGGAGACCACAGATGGGGGAGAGGTGGAGGGGGGG